AGGAAGGAAGGAAGGAAGGAAGGAAGGAAGGAAGGAAGGAAGGAAGGAAGGAAGGAAGGAAGGAAGGAAGGAAGATTGAATGCACTGATTTCAAATCACTATTATTGTAGTGCACATATACTTGTAATAACACACGCATCAAGTCTTTTTTATTATTATTTTTTATTATTGGGAAGGAAAAAAGAACACATAGAAAGTGGTTTAACAAAAAAGTGAAAGAAATACTACAAAGAAAAAAAACATGTTAATATGTCATTATAACAGTAAACAATTACAATTCTGTATATACACACTCATCTAGTCTGCTAATTTATCTGGCTTTACCAGCATAATTTGGTGGCACTGTAACCCTAAAGATATTTTAAGGGGCTCTGTCATGATCACTGTGCCAGATGTGGGCCAGGAAATACTGAGATTCAAATCCTCTCTCAGTTAGGAAAGTCTTGGATTTCTTTGAGCCAACATGTTCAGTATGATTCATCCTATCAGGCTGTGAAAATAAAATGGAGAGATAGCTGAAAAAGAACTGTGCACATTTATATTCCTTGGAAGGAAAGTTGCATGCAAGTAAAATAAATAAAATATATAGAATACAGGTAGAAATATGTAGAATCCTAACTCATGGTTCTCTCAGTTTTATGGAGATCCACTTCTTGGCTATAGATTTTTGGGGAGTGATTCACAAACTTAACAAATAAAAAGCTTTAGCTTTATGGCCATTTTTATTAGTATGTGAAACAAACTTAATTGGGCTTTGTTTTTGGTACATATATCAATTAGAAAGGAATGTTTACAGGCTAATATCTCCTGCAGGACATTATTAGTCTATAATTGCCATTATTAGTCTAGAAAGTATCTTTAACCATTATCATATAATTATTAAGAAGCAAGTCCTACTAATTTCCACAGAGTAAGGATACAAAGTAAAGATGCAAAAATATGCCTGATATTTTTCCACTACTACAATAAGAATCCCCCCCCCCAATTTTACTGTTATATATAGATGATAGAGAAGAATCAGGTACAGATAATAAAATATGGGTGGATAAACAACACATCTGTAATATCGTTAAACCTATATATCCAAATGCATCATTAGAAGTTTGTGATATTCTAAGATATTTCCTAACCATTTTTTAATCAGAACCCATGTGTCCCTGCTGAGCAAGCTAAAAATGCTTGGTTAACATAGTTCAAGTCAGTTAAAAAGACTATAGATAGTAAAGTATACATTAAATCAATACCGTAAATTATACATCAAATCATCAACTCTAAAACCCAAATTTTGGTGGTGGGATGTTTCCATGTATAAAATTGTCACCCCAGAATGGTTTCCAATTAGAATTAAATTCTACATCAGGTTTACTTTTTAAATGTGAAGTTATTCTAGACATTGACGCAATCCCACAGTTTAGGGAGACATACTTCCCAAGAAGGAATGAAAGATCTTCCCAATGAAAGTCACATAAAATGCTTTCAGGAGAAGAAATGTATTTTTTGCATCAAACTGAATGAGAATTAGTAGGAAAAAAACACAACAGGATAATTTATCTGTCCATCGTTAAATAAAATCAAGAGGAAGCTAATAAGTAACAAAAACAATTTTTTTTGGTTACAATTTATTGCTTGCTTTTCTATGCAAATGCCAACAATGCTTTCCTTGGAAATATTATAAATATTTAGGAACTCAAGAAGGTTAAGCCATTCTTCTTCCCATGCATTTAAAAAAAAGTCTCCAGCTGAATTTCAACATTCTTCTTCTGAATACAATACAGGAAGAATATTTTCAAACATGTACAGTTACAGCAATATCAGCCAAATTGGACATGGTTAAAATATGCAGTGGTTATACTCATAGAAACTCTGATATTATTTGCAGCCAAAGTCCTCCTGTACTTTCTAAGATATTTTAAATAATCTTACAAACTTTACAAAGGCAGTTCATGTCTGTTTCCCCATCCTGCCTCCTGAAATTAAGACACCATTCACAGAATTAAAGGTTTAAAAATGTGTGGGAAAATATATTGGCAAGTTTATTGTTGGAACTTTGAGGAACTAGATAATATAGGAAGGCCTAAATTAAAAGCTGAGTCATTAGAAAATGTAATGTTTGTCTCCAGATGAAGCAGTCTGAGATTGCCCCCAAAGGCTGACCATCTTTAGGGTTAACCCCTGGAAGTCCTCCTTCCGTCTATGAGACTACCACCGTGAAGAACTTCTTGGCCACTGAGTCCAGGGTGAAGATTAAGATCAAGGATGATGAGAATATTGCAGAGACCTGTTTGTTCCCACCCTGCCTCTGGACCTGTCAACCATTCAGTCCACTTAATGGAGGTGGTGATCCATTGCGTTTAACCCCTAATCGATCTACTACATTCACTATTTAGCTATGACAACTTCAGTAAACTCAGCTGAAGACAAGGCTCTTACTTGAAACTTAAAGTAAACCCAAAGGCAGTGTGAAGTTTTGTTTTGCAAAAACAGCCCTCAGCAAACGCCAATTAGCCAGAGGAAGGGGGAAAAACATCCCTACTTAATAACTCAACCAGCATTCATCCTAGGGTTGAATTAAAACAGTGGGAGGAGAGTGTTTAATGGTGTCTGGAGAAAGAAGAGGAAGGGGTAGAATCCAGGCAAAAAAAAAAAAAAATCTGCTCTTATGTCCATGGAAGCAAACTCCATGCATGGAA